CTGTGTCAATAAGTCAAGGCCATGTCTGATGTCACCGTTCAACCCCAGTATAAATCTGTGTACATGTAGTGTATAGTAGGCAGCAGAAGGTCTATTCATTATGGCGTCGTGGAATAAAGATACTCTTTGCAGTTTATTGATCTCTATAGAGACAAAAATTTAGCGGAAAGTAAAAAGCAAACAAAACAGTAACAAGTATACTCAAGAGAGGGCTTATGAAAGGCTTGTAGTTGTAGAATTTTGCATGCAATATGAACCTGAAGCAAACTTCATTGTGTAAACGTCAGTGTGTAGTAAACAGGGTGACCTTTATTTTGACGCAAACGTAGTATCAATATGAGATTATCTGCAGTCCAACTGCAGTTTAAAATTTTGCTGTTAGAGCTACACCTTCAGCTAAAGGACCAACTGCAGTTGACAAGGCTGCAGTTAAAAATCCTGTCCGGACTAACCGTACGTGTACACTGTAATCCACCCATAAAACTAGCACTTTCAGTTGGTAGGAAATTTCGGAATTTTTGCCCGGGCGGCAGCCGAAGCACCCTGTTATCGATTTTAAACCACCAAGGGATCTTTAACGAGCGCAACTTGCACACGGGCCCTCCTAGATTTTTCGCCATTGTCCGAGAAGGCTAGGTGTAGATCTTTCCTACCAAAAGATCAGGGGTGTGGCTTAAAGAAAGCAGTAAGAAGGAGCTAAGTAGAAGCAGTAGAAAGGCTGCAGAAAGAGTCAAGAGCCCAGTGAAGGGGGCAAAGGAGGTGAGGGGGTGGGGGCAGAAAGAGGAGACGAAAGAAGACGACAGAACATTGCTAGAGAGCTGGAAAGGAGGTGAAAGGAGACAATTTTAAAGAACTTTTTTTTCGGTCGCAACCCGGATTCGAACCCAGGACCTCTGAATGAGTTTGAGAGGCCAACACGATAACCTCTAGGCCACGAGAGCCCCCCCCTAAAACTATTTGTACCCTCACAAACCAAACAGAATGAAAATGGTGGAATAGCTTTCGCAAACTTAAATAAAAAAGAAGTAATTCAAACCTTAGCCTAAGTAATAAATCACACACTCTTATAGACTCACAAAACAAAGACAAATCTCATTATAAACTTTAAATAAAATAAAATGTAAAATGGTTATTAAAAAAGCTATGAAACAAAAAAGAAAATCGAAGTGGTGAACATGGTACATGATGTATTGACATAATTTGAAATGAGGCTGGACAAAAGAAGAACAAGAAAACACGTTGGCCCATTTCTTTGCCTTCTAATTTGATTCAATGTCCTTGATGCCCTAGATAGTACGGTAATCAATTATATTGATCAGTATTCTCAGCCAAGAAGTACACAGTGTGGACTGCACATGTTTACAACAGGTACCGTACATGATAGAAGAGGACAGATTGCCAAGAGGTAGGGCCTACTGGGTACCCACCGAAGGCAGCTGTATGATATTTTTTTTTTTAACCCAAGAAACTTTAGGCCCCCCTCCTTTTAAAAACCTTTTCACAATTACCCCTTCACCACCCCCCTCCTCTTTTGTTCTTGAAACTTCTTGTCTTTTGGGCTTGAAGAGCTTTTTAAAAAAAAATGTAGTAGTTATCTTTCACAAGACCATTGTGAAAGGGGTGTTTGAAGGAAAGAAGTGGGGCAGGAGAGCCAGAGGAAGGAAAAGAATAACATAGATGGACAACATATGAAGGACTGGCCTGGATATGGCAGGATGTGCAACGGCAGCTTGCGACCGTGAAAGATGGAGGGTCATAACGCGTCAACCTCTGACTCTGAGTCAGAGATGACACCTTCAGTCATCCAGGTGCCTCTGTATATTTCACACCCTAACTGACACAATCAGATCATTTAGGAGTGAGGGGGGCTTCGAACCAGCCTGTCAGTGTAAGGCCAACCAAGGCTTTGGGGGAAACAACATTAAAATGTCTTAACAACAGTAACAGAAAGACAGAGGTACTTTTCTTTTGATAAAGGTTCTCTCCACACAGCAATCAAACTGGGTCTTCTGCGAGTGGTGGTGAAGTGTGTAACCCTGCAACACCACAGACACCGGTGGCTTGGGTTCAATATCTGCAGCTGCAAAAAGCTCTTCAAGAACGAAACCTGTCACCACATTGACAGCTCAGCGTTAAGACTCTGTCATAACTCACTTTTCAAAACAGCATTATATGGCAGAGAGTAACACTAAGCAGTGAACATCATACATAATATATTATTCTATATATATATATTAATAGTAGACCCGACCTGTTCCATTTTTTCAATGCCGTTCTTTTGCTGGTAGAATGGATTCATCAAAGTGGCCATAGTAAACCGGCTTTCTGCCGGTTTGACGGCTACTTTCATGACTTAATGTCACTCGTCTGAATCAAAATGGCGAGGGCTACAAACGAAACAGATTGTTGTTTCTGCTCTGGTGATTGAGGAAAAAGAAAAGAGGGGGTCATCAACATTATGAGGTTTCATCCTATCAACAGAAGGAGAGCTATATGTATACATGGAGAATACCACCATCTCATGCCCCAACTGCCCAATCACCGGAGAATTTTCAGCAATATCTCAAAATGACACATCAGAAGCTCTTCTTTAACTGTGAGCACCCGATCTATCTTAATGAGAAGTCCACAAATTTCGGAGCCTCACAGCAAAAATTAGTATTTCTTTGCCCATCTTCATCATTTGCAAGGGGAAAGAACTATCATTGTTATTGTAAAAAATGGACAAAGTACTGTCCCTTCCAACTTTTCTTTCTGTCGTTGAGGCAGCGGGGCGGATTGCACGATAGGCGAAAAGAGGGTGTTAAAATGCCGCGCCGGGCTGGCCACTGTTACTCTATGGCCGTCCACGCACGTCGCTGGTGGCGCCACATAGCAGTTCAGCCGGGTTGATTCTTCTCCTCGTCACGGCAAAAGAACTGCGTCAAAAAAACCAAAACAACTGGAATGGGACGGGTCTACTATGGTTTCAGCCGGAGCGGACAGACGGAGGTAGCCACGTCATTATGAGCGAAAGACAATCTCAGACATTACAGTCCACTTGATGATCTAAGTGCGATGTTTCTGTTCTACAATTGGATCATCTGAGTTGTTCCATTCAACGGTCTACTACAATCCTCAATACGTCAATACACAATGTCCTGCACATTTTTTTCCCTCCGTATAGGAGGGACTGTCACTGTCATTGGCCACACAATGCTTTGGTTCAAAAGGACCATACGTATTTTGATGGTTGTACATGTAGTTGTAGTTTGTTACTGTCAGTGTTAGTTGAAGTAAACGGTCTTGATGTCATTTAGAAAGGCGATGAACATATCCGGCTCATCCTTCCTCCAAATCCTCCAGCAAATGTTATCCAGGTGAGACTGGAACGTGCTAAGGTTATAACCTCGTTTTTTCTTCAAGATGTTCGTGCTGGCATCCAACCAAGACCTCTCAACGGGCTGGGCGTGAACTCCTGTTGCTGGATCCACATGAAGCTGGTGGTGGTTGACAGTTCGATGCTGAAATCCTAAAGAGCTGAGAACACCGTAGGCTGGCCATTCGTTGCAATGAATAAAAGACCCTGGCTCGCACTCACGCTGAATGATTGGAATCAGCGTCTCCGAGTCCCTGTTAATCACCCAAAAATAACGACAATCGTTTCCTTTCTTGAGTCCAAAAACCCACAGATCGTCCATCTGTCGACCATAACTCTGACTGTTTTCCACAGAAGTATCGTCGTCAGCATTACTAGACGGTTGATCTCTGGCCAGCTGCTTTCCACGGCCGTTTCCTCTGCGGCCGGCAAATCCAGACTCGTCGACCAGGATTGGTTCCGTTTCCGTGCCTACCATTTTTCCTCGGGATGAAACAATGCTGGAGCATACCTGTCGGCACATTTTGAACCGATCTACAACAACCGTGCGACTTCTGCCGGTGAGAGCGACAACTTGATCCATTGACATGTCAAGGATGAACATGAAAACCAGCTCAAGAATGGCGCTGAGCGGGAGCCTTGCATGAACGTTGCCGCCCCGAGCCTTATGATGGAAGAATGGGTTCCCTCGACGCAGAGATCGTGAAGTTTGGCAACCTTTTTTGGGGCATCTCAGTACGGCTCTGAATTCACCCCCCTTATCCCTCTTCCTGGTCTGTCTCATCGCTGTGCCACACTTGTGACAAGGATTAGCGGTGTCCGGAGCTCCTAGGAGGCCCTGACAAATCAGATAGTTTGCTGCTGCTTCTTCTGTTGGAATAACAGTGTCGTAGAATTCTCTCAGGTACATATTGTGCTCGGTTTCAGCTGATGCTATAATGTAAGAAATTACTTGAATGATCTCAGTCTCTCTGTGAAGTTCAAAGTTAATTGGGACTGAAAAAACAAAATGAAAAAGTTACCGTCTTAGTTTAGTTTTTTATACTTTAGCCAATCACACGCGCACAAGCTGTCTCTGAAGTCTGAAGTAAGTAGCCTTTAGATCTGGCTAATCACTAGATATCTAATCATGGACCCATGGGAACCGTGGATAAAAGTTTAGTGTAGTGTAAGTAAAAAGTAAAAGTGAACTTTTACGCCACTGCCTTTGCAAGTTCATGCTTCCCAAGCCTGGACGTCGACCCATCTCAGGTCATTATATTGCTTTCCTGACCGCCGCCTTCTTGTTTTGTTTACAATAGGACCACTCACTGTTTACTGTTTACTAGACTATTTTTGGCATAGCACAGGACAAGTTGACAGGTAGACCGTAACAAGTGCCGCAGCCGGGCCACTTGACGGTCTACCGCCATAATGCGATTTAGGCCTACGGATGACATGAACAACCCACGGTTTGCTTGACGATCTACCGATATAAACAGTTGTAAACCATAGAGTAAAACAAAAACATCAAGGCAGTTAGTCTACTTGACTTACAACAACCAGTTTTAGCCTATACATAATGTTTAACCTAATTTTTTTTTTTTAAAGAAGTAAATTTGGCAATCTCGACCGTTTGTTTTGTTTTTGACTAATCGAACTGCTAGTACTGCCTCAAACGTCCAAGATGGCTGCTCCCAGTTCGTCGACTAATCAGACAAGTTCAGCGCCAGTATGTAGATCTAGATCTAGATCTAGTCAGAATAATTTGATGTTTCTGTCTTCTTTTTCTTGAATACGTTTCAGTCCAGATAGATCTAGATCTGTATCAAGGATACTCCTGTTTTAACTCCAACGATTGCTGTTCGACAGTAGGTCTACTACTACTATCCTTAAATCTAGAGTTAGAGTCTAGTCTAGGCCTAACTAATCCTGCAATCCTAGATCTGACAATGGGTGATCTTGTTTGTAGTTCCGTTCGTTAAAGTCCACGATCCATTTGTTTACATCCAGAGAAGAAATCCAGAAGTCTTGATGACCAAATACTATTTGAATTAGGCTACACAAAGAGTGGGGATGCAACCTAACTGCAAAACATCAAATTTAGGCTAATTATTAGGATAAAATTCAGGGGGGCATGCGGCATGCTCCCCTGAACCCACCCCCCCACCTCAGTATTTTTATTAGGTCAGGGGAGCAAGCCCCCCTGAAACCCCCCTACTCTTGACTTTAACGAACGAAACTACAAAATCGCCCTACAATGGTTTTAATTGTCAATTTCTTTGCACCTACGGACTCATCTCTGTGCTGTCACGTGTGGGAAAGAAAGAAAAGAAAATACAAGCGTCGACAGTCGTCCGATTTTTAGATTGTCTGGCTCGCCATCGTAACCGGTCAATGAACCTGCGCGCATTCGCATCATAAATAAATACGGCATCGTGTGAGCAAAGACCGTTTTTGGTGGGAGTAACTGCGTTGCGAAGTATAGGATTACGGAAAGGAAGAGGCTAGCCGTACTTAATGACGGCTAGACTGGCAGTCTAGCCGTACTTAAGTACTTATTCTTAATATGATGGCTAGACTGACCATTTACAAAAAATAGGCCTACTGAATTGTAAATATATATACATTTTTAGTGTGCAGTACCTAAAGTATTTGTATTTGAGACAAAACCAGGTTCCTTAATGACAGTGCATGTATTTTAAACCTCCTGTTTTCTAATGTAAATAGGGCCTAAGATAAGTACGGCTAGACTGGCAGTCTAGCCGTACTTAAGTACGGCTAGACTTCTTGTACTTAAGTACGGGTAGACAGCCAGGCTAGCCGTACTTAAGGACGTCAGTCTAGCCGTACTTAATATTGATGGCTGAATTGTAAATGAAAATTTTAGTTTGCAATGCCTAAAGTATTTGTATTTCAGACAAAACAAAAAGGTGCCTTACTGACTTGCATGTATTTGAACCTGAATAATTACTAGATCTAGATCTAGATCTAGATTAGATCTAAGGAGACCTGTGTACTTAACAGGATTGAGTCGATTGGGCCAAACCTAGATCTAGATCTAGATCTAGATCTAAGTACGGCTAGACTGGCAGTCTAGCCGTACTTAAGTACGGCTAGCCACTTCGTTACGGAAAAGGGGAGGGGATTATTGATTTTTTTTTGGCTGCTCTTATTGGCCCACAGAGTAAAAATTAGCGAGAAAGGGGCAACTAAAGTTTTGATTTGGTAAGTGTTTTAAGGCGCTCGCAACTGTATAAAGTCATATAAGTGCGGGACACATGAAAATTAGACATTTTCAGTTTGGAAAGTAGGAACTAATTATGAATTTTGCTAGAGTGGCAGCTAAAGCCGACTGTACTCTTATTGATTTTGGACCCCCAAGGGAATTTTAACATGTGCAACTCCCACACGGAACCTCTAAGATTTTTCACCCTTATCTGAGAAGGCTAGGTGTTCTAGATCTTTCTAAGATCAAGGATATGGATGAAAGACAGCATTAAGAAGGAGCGAAAGGAGTTGCAGTAGAAAGGCTTCAGAAAGAGTCAGGAGCCCAGAGGAGTGGGCTAAAGGGGGTGGGGGCAGAAAGTAAAGGTGAAAGTAAACAACAGAACATGGTTAGAAAGCAGGAAAGGTGAAAGGTGGAAATTTTAGAGAAGAAAATTTTCCGTCGCTTTCAGGTTTCGAACCTGGGACCTATTGAATGAGAGGTGAACACTGTAACCTCTAGACCAGTGGTTTTCAAACTTTTTTCGCCCACCGCCCCCTTTTTCACCCAGCCGAGCCCCAGCGCCCCCTACTCCACCCCAATCATCAATGTGACATAACGACATGCATAATATAATAGCAATCACAAATAAAGAGAGAGCTCAAACAGCAGCGTAGAAAGTAACATGCCTAAATTCTAATGATTTGGTTCTGAATATTAGTTGGGTCACAAATCACCATCATTACAGAGTTTTAAATTAAGCGTGTACGAGAGATAATAAATCACATTTTTCTCCAAACTTATGAAAGGGCATTGAGAGCAAAATGCTGTCATTTTATGCTTATAGTTGTAATCGGTACTAAACGACCAGTGTTATTAACATAAATAAAAATAAAACATGTATTATCACATTTACAGAAGCAAAACGCCAAAAAATAAATAAATAAATAAAAACGCCCGTGATCATTCGTTTGAAAACAGATTGACATTATCTTTATGAAACGTTTTCTCCCATCAACGTGCTGCAATAAAGTTGCCTGAGATGTGTATCAAATATCTCCATTGTAGAAAATAAAAATATTATTAAGTTGTTCAAATGTGAGAAACCACACGAAAGAAAAAGTATGCATGGATCTTAGTCTGTAATTATCACCATCATTGTCATCATCATCATCATCATCATCATCATCATCATCATCATCATCATCATCTTCATTATCATCGTCATCATCATCATCATTTTCATCAACAGTGGTAGCACGTGCACATAAAAAAACTCTGTTTAACAAGTGAATGTTTTGCTTTTTTTAAAAAGGAAGAAAAAAAAAAAGAAAAGACACATTGAGATATCAAGTAAGGGTAAACTACGGAGTAGCGTGCGCAAATAAGTTATTGACACTACCCTAATGGGAAGGATGGACCTGCTTAAGACGGAACCAACTTATCAACATCAGGTTTCAGATTGGTCAGTAGCAGACGCAAATCGCTACGCTTCGTCAGCAACCTTGCCACTGTACTGAATCCCCTTTCCACTAGATAGGAGGCGGGAAAAGAGATGAACAACAACTTGATCTTTTCCCACTTCTCTTGCACAACAGTTTTCAACCAGAATGACTGGTACGGCTTTTTGAACAATGGTTAGATTTCAAAGTCACATTTCATCGTCAGAAGCTCTTCTTCAATTGCTACTTGCAAGTTATCTTCTGTTTCAGTGTTCGATGGGTCCAATATCCAGTATGGAATTTCCAGTTTAAAAATATCAGGAGGCTAAACCTTGTCTTCATATCAGCGTGCAAATCTCTGAGGTGGTTGCTATATATATTTGTAGTTCCTCGTCAGAAATGCGCCCTTCTTTCAGTGTCTTCGTCAAGCTAGGACACTGAGAAATTTTCTTCTGCCAATATTTCGGCGGATCATTTCCAATTTCCACAAGAATGACAAAAGCCTTGATCAGGTTGGTATCATCCCCCTGCAGCTGAAAGTTGAACTGGTTGAACTTTGTGAAAAGATCTGTGAGGAGCGCAATGTTGTTCTTGTGTTCTTTCTGTTTATTGCAGAGATCACTGTCTCTTTCTTGAAAACAAAACCTCCAGCACAGAGTCAAAGAGGCAGAACAATAATTGTGTTCAACAGTTTCCTTTCGAGAGCCACCAGACTTCAATGTGCAAAAGTAAGCTTTGAAAGTACTCGTCATTTTCTGTCTCGAGTTCAAAGCGTGGACTTTGATCTTGTTCACACACTTGATGACAATGGCCAGTGTGTCCTGCAGACTATCATTCAGGTTTTTTACAACCAAATTATGTCTGTGAATGACACAGTAAACAGTAAATACTCCATGGACTGATTTCATCTAGAAGTTCACAAATCCACGTTTCCGACCTGCCATCGACGGTGCCCCATCTGTTGCACAGGCAACTGTACTGGTCAGAGGGATCTGTTTCTCGTAGAAAAATTCTTGGACCACTTTGAAAATGGACTCGCCTTTGGTATCTGTTTCCGACATTTTCGCAAATAACAATTCTTGCATTATTCCCTCACCCTCTATGAACTGATATCCAGTTAAAGGCTGAGCTCACGCCCTTTCAGCATTTTGCACAGTGATTCCTCAACATTAGCTGACGTCTCATCTAAACGTCTTTGAAAGGTATTTGCACTTAGTGGGAAAACTTTCAACACAGGCTCCGGGGCACGTTGCAGGACTGTGCTGACCACCTCTCTTATAGCAGGCAATATGAGGTCCTCACCGATAGCATGGTGTTTCCCTGCCTTTGTAATTAGCTGAGATAAATTATATGTTGCTCGTAAGCCTTCATCAGCTTGATCGACGTTGGCTGCAAACATCGGTTTCACTGATTTTCATTTCTGAAAATTGATCTTTAGAGTTTTGAAGTATGCTACATCTTTGTCAGATTTTTCGTGATGAATCTTCTTATATGGGATTTGCGGGCTGGGAAAGAAAGTTCTTAGTTATAAGTGTAAACTATGCCTAAGCTATCAATTTTGTTTTTGTTTTTGTTCTTTTATGTGGCTTTTTTCCCCTCATCATTTTTTATGTTGCATGTCATGAAAATTTCACACCGCCCCCTTAGCGCCCACAATCGCCTAGTTTCGCCACAGCGCCCCCCAAACTCTCGCCACCGCCCCCCTGGGGGCTGTAGCGCCCACTTTGAAAACCACTGCTCTAGACCATAAGAGCCCCCTCAGCAGGTTTGACTATGATATATCGATATAATATTCTTTTTCCACAGAAGATTTCTGCACCTTCTGGGTCAAACACAGACACTGCCACTGCCTCAGGCACAACTGCACCGTCCAGCATGGAAACCAAACCATCGCCAAAACTCCTGGACCAGCTCATGCAGAAAAAATATAGCACAATTCCTCACGGGTGAGAGAACCTGACATCACAGCAGAGTCGTTCCTCTTTGTCTCTGAGAAATTTACTGAGTTCTAGAGTTTTCTGATTATTTGTGTGGCATTATTGAGGTGAAATCAGGCGCTTGGAAAAATAATGAAATCAAAGAGAACAACATTTTCTGTCTGCTGGGCAGTTTTTATTGATTTTATTCCAAATATTTTTTTGGGCATCATAATTGAAGCCTTTACTATTTAAATCTAATGCATGCAATTGTGCAGCTGCCAATCAGGACCTTGAAATGTGTTTTATGTTTTTGAGGGTCTGATTATGGAAGTCTTTTTTCATGTTTGAAAATTTGCTTTGTCTGTTGTCTCGTATTTCTTCTTTACGGACTTGCTGATATTGAAGAAAAATATGAATTCTGATCAATTCGTGACTGGATCTGTGAATAATAGTGGGAACGAAGCCCGTTTGTTACTTGAGTTTTGTCTGTACTGTATAGGTAAAGGTCTTTTCGGAGGATTTCTGATATAATACTTATATTCTTGCAGATCTGCCACGACTAGTTTTAAGTGAATGTAGACATGCTTGTTTTAACTGTTTTGAGGGGGAATTACTCGGTCATTGCCTACCATATTTATCTGCTGTGTTGGTAAAGTCTGTTTTTTGGGTTTAAAAATTTTGTAGCTAAGTAATCAACATATTGTTATTCTGAGGGAACTCCTTGATTTGAAGTTACTTTAGACTTGTGAGCCCATTTGAAAACATGGAAGTCACATTCAGTAATTTTCTCAGTCGTTAGTTGGAGTATGCCACTGGTGAGTTCTATTTTCTTTTTTGTTTCCCTTTGTCATTTCTGTCTGTCTTTCATTTTTTTTTTTCCCCACGCTTGATGATGATTGTTTTTCAGTGTTCTTCTCTTAACTCGAACATTTCAGTTTTCAATGCACTAAGGAAGAAGAATTTTATAGTGATAATGGATAAGATGTACTTTTGAAATGAAATGCAGACATTGGCCTTGAACCTAATTGTAAATGTACAGTCTAGAATGGACATATCAAAATCGACTGGATGCAGTAATATTTTCTTGCTATAAATACAAAGAATATGTAAGAAAAAGTTTGGGAACTGAAATTCTGTTGATTATGTGTGTTTGGCAATGTATGAGTATGTGTTTTGCTATATATGTTTGCTGTATTATAATTTGTCTGTCTGAGAGTTAGCTTGGTTTGTTTGTATTTCTAGAATTCCGCCGTCAATCTCAGGAGGATCGGGATCTTCACCAGGACAGCGGGTGCGGTCGGCAGCCGTCAACGGCCAGGAACAGTATGCTAATAAACTCAAGAAAATAAGGCGGGCCATAAAAGATACCATTTTTGTACGTTACTGTCACATTTTGTTGGAACTGGATAGATACAGAAATTGTAGATTTAATTATCTTAAGATGAAAATTCTGCCTTCGCTTTGGTTTTCATTCTCTTTAAAACTTTACTCATCACCATTCTTTGTCTGTCTGTCTGTCTGTCTGTCTGTCTGTCTGTCTGTCTGTCTGTCTGTCTCTCTCTCTCTCTCTCTCTCTCTCTCTCTCTCTCTCTCTCTCTCTCTCTCTCTCTCTCTCTCTCTCTTTCTCTCTCTCTCTCTCTCTCTCTCTCTCTCTCTCTCTCTCTCTCCCTCTCTCTCTCTCTCCCCCCCCCCTCTTCCTTAACTTACATTTCCATATTTTCTAAAGGAAAGGGAAGTATAATCTTAAATTTCAACTTTTGAAATGAGCTGGAAAAGGGTGTGTTTTTCCTCTTCCCTTCCATTTGTTAAGTTCTGCTGATTGCATGAGGTTTTGGCAGAGTCTACTCAGATGCCCATGCCTGGTGTAGTTTTACGTTGATTTTCTTTCCTTCAGCTCAGAGTTGAAATTACAACTAATTCTAATTTAGTTGGACACAGATAGCATGAACACAGAAAACTCTAAATCGCAGATAGCTCTTCAAATTTGACATTCCCTGACTGATATCACTTTTATTTTTCATTATCGGTTTTAACCGAAATTATAGATGTGTCGAACACGTTTGTCAGTCCCCGACATATTTGAATTATCCGTGCACAACTGTGCTACCAGCAGCTTTTATATTGCTCATATCCTCACTGTACAGCTTGCTTTATAACTGTTACCCCATCTGACTTTGAAGTACTCAGAAACATTCTCAGCATCCCGGGAAGCAAGCTGTTTATTGCTCATGCTTAAACACTTAACAAACTGACCTGGATCGATAACAACAAACACAAACAAACTGGCAAGATCTATGGACGGATGTGAGTTGTAATTCTGTAACGTCTCTCTTCTGCCAGGTGAACGGTGCAGTCTGTGATGAGGTGCTGAGGACGGAAGAAAAATTGGCGAAAGCGAAAGAGGAGAGGAGGTATAGCTATTGTTATAGAGATTTTGTCCATGTCTAGTTTTGTAGCCATGATTCATTATCATCTCTTTCTATCTCTCAGGAATGCTATCCTTCAGAGAGGCAGTTTTTCTGTACCCCCCTTCCCCCCCCCCCTTTCCCCACCCCGTTATTTTCACTAGAAGAAAGGTCAATAATCTGAACATCTGTTTTCTGTTTAACCCCGTCTTAGTTTTCTATTAAGCGTCTTTTTGTTTGCAAAAATAACTTTGTAAATGTTCACAAAATCTTCTATGTAAATGTTGTTCTCTGCCATCGTTGAACAAGTTTTTTCCTTCAGATAAAAGTTAATCTTTTTAGTTTGTTGATATTTTTTCCAGTTATGAAGAAGAGAGAGAGGAAAAAGTTAAAGAGCACAACTGCTAGGCCCTAACTCTTAACGTCTTTACTTTCCCAATGTTGTTTCAGTTTGTCTGTTTTACTCTATCTCTTCTGTAAATGATGGTTATTGTGTCGGTGTGCTTCTCTTCACTCAGACTCGTATTAAATGAGTTCAGAGCTAGCTAGTTTCTTCAGACGTACTGTTGAAATTGTTACCTTCTAAGAGGACCACCTGTTGTTAAGGAGAAAAATGATTATCTTAGACAGGTGGACGCAGTATGTGGGTGGTTGGCGGGTTCTCTGGTGTGGTTTGCTTCTTCTTTCCTATCAAACATCTATCGTCCTTATCTCTCCTCCTTTTTTCTATGTTTGTTACTCTCTTGTAACACCTTTAATCTTCGGCACTTATATGACCTTATTGTGTTGCGAGTGCCGTAAAACTCTTACTAAAACAAAAAAACGACGACAGTACGCAGTGTTGTTATAATGTACAAAAATAATGGCAAGGGAGGAAATAGGAAGTGTCCGTTTTTACAGGTGACTTTCTTATACAGGTAGCCATTAGAGCAGGGTTTTTTTTCTTTATTTATATAGATGTTCTTCTCATCCTTACTTTCATCATTTTTCCTCTGCTTCTTTTGTATGTTTGTCACTCTCTTGTGAATTGCTATTTTATAGGTGCCTTGATTGTCGAAGCAGACTTTGTGCTGTTGAGGCTAGAGAGGTGAGCAGAGTAAGCCTGATTCCCTGTTTGGATTTATCTGTTGACATCCACCCCTTGGCACTCAGATGACCTTATGCAGTTGCGAGTGCTGTAAAGCCTTACTAAAACGAAACAAACTGGATGTTTTTCTCTTTTCTCCAAGTCTAATAACTACAACTGAGATATTTGTCATGTTCCAGGTTCTTGTTGAGAAAGTTGCTCCAGTACCAGTCGGTCACAGACACCCCCACAGCCACCGTCAAGACAGAGTCTCAAGCTACTCCGGCCAGACAACCCAAGACTCCTGCAGGTTGGTTCTCTCACAGCCTACTCAGATTTTTCGTGAAATCAGAGAATTATAGGACTGACGATAATAATAAATAGCATTTGTGTAGCCCATATCACTGCTCAACAGCAGGCTCCATTCGTTTTTACGCTTTATTACCCCTTTAGACCTAAGAACACTCTTAAATGTGGGTGCTCTGGTGTGGGTTGCTCCCTCTTTCCCATCAAACATTTGTCATCCTTATCTCCCTACCTTTAAAAAATAAAATTATGTTATTCTCTAGTAATACTTCCAATCTATGGCACTTATACGACCTAATTGAGTTACAAGTGCCATAAAACTCATCCTTAAACTACCCCCCCCCCCAAATTGTTTAAATCACAAGTTATTGACCTCTCATTGGAAAAAAAATTGAAAGTGTTTTTTCCTCAGATTCTGTGGCATAAAGTGTAGGCCTTCATAAAAGGCATCATATCGACATATCAGTCTCATCCATACACTCATTCCCTCCCTCATTAAATAACCTCTCCCCCCTCCCCTCACCTCACTAACACTGGTACAGGTGTAACTAAACTTCCAGGAGTGCTTCTGTCCTCTCTGGGTTTTTTGGGTTTTCTTGGAAGTAAAGATAATTTCAAGTGACTTTTTGATCTTGTTTTTCCAGGTTCCCTGGACCCCATGGCCTCAGAAACGAGTGGAAAGCCCAGTAAGGGAGTGAAGCGTAAAGCGGCAGGGGCCAGCCCTGTGGGTGCTGGGATTTCTCCCTCTGCCAGTCTCGCCTCGCTGTCTCGGCCCGGGGATGCCAAGAAAAAGGCGCCACAGTCGGCCAAAGAGATCTTGGGTAATGTTGCTCTTCACTTCTGCGCTAGAATACGTATGGAAAGTTTTTGAACATTTGTTAAAAAATGTTATTTTGATGAGCAGGCGATTTCACCTCGATGCCACCTATTCAATTCGATGATCAAGGTCCTGATCAGGTTACAGACGCATCTTCCGAATTTTTCTCCTGTATGGTGGCATGGCTGCTGACCAGATGAACTGACTACACAGGTCAAAGTTCTGGCATACGCTGACAAAACGCCTTTTTAAAAAATTCACAGTACAGTCGAACCTGCCCTGACGGCCACCTGTACGAATGGCCACTTTCCATTTCCCCCCTTGCATTTTTTCTATATAATTTAACTGTAAAATGGGCATCTGTCCAACACTGCCGCTGCCACCATATTTATTTAAACACACAACCCCTATCACACCAAGCAATAACACCTGTCTTAGGCGGCCACCTTAGTGACTCCATTACGTTTTGTCATAAATTGTGCATTGTCCCCTGGCGTTGTGGGCGAGCCGTCATAATTCAATCACCTGTCGTTGTTGTTAGGTAGTCCCTCCAACCGATCATGTCGTGCAGGCCCCTCCTGCTGTTGACCAATAGGTGACAAATGTTCATCTGCCTGTGAGGTAAGCGTGTGATCCCTCATAACCCCCTTCATCTCCCCAGATTCGTAACAAGTTGCAGTTTCAACATTACTAACTACTCCCATCTTCCGTCTGTCCAAATTCATTACAAGTTGCAATTTCAACTTTACTTTCCCCCCCCCCCATCCCCCCATCTCACCAGATTCGTTACAAGTGCGCCCCAAGAAGAGCAAAGGTGTCAACAGGAAGGTCATCCCTCCCCTCATGTTGGATTCTCTGGGCCGGCCCGTGTTCCCCATGGCCTTAGGGGACGTCACACTACACAGTATAGGGGAGGTACGTCTCTTTGTCTGTCTGTCCGTGTTCCATGTCTGTCTTTTGGAAGGACGGTCAGTCAGTTGATCTGTCTGTCTGTTGGTCTGTTGATATATGTCAGTCTGTGTGTCTGTCTGTTTGTCGGGTAGGTACATGTCATGATAACACAGGCTGTGAAGTTCGAAAGAAACACTTTATTTTACATGTGGGTAGTTGGCAGGTGCTCTGGTGTGATTTGCCCCTTCTCTGTCAAACATCTATTATCTGAATCTCTAGTAATAACACCTCTAATCTTCGGCACTTGTATGACTTATTTGTATTGCAAATGCCGTAAAGCGCTTACTAAGATTAAAACTTATTTTACAGCCGAAATTGTAGAGTAGCACTGTACACATAATTTGCTATTTGACTCGGTCCTTTTTTAAATGGACGTTAAACTCAGAGGTCCCGTCTCTTAGATAACCTAATGGTATTGATCTAGGCGTTAAACCCATACCATACCATTCCAGATTGTCCCGGACCGCCTGAGCTTCCACTGCCCAGACTCCATCTACCCAGTGGGTTACTGTATCACACGTGTCTACGCCAGTCTGCACAAACTTGACACCAAATGTCTCTACACCTGCAAGATCTCCGACAACAATGATGGACCTTTGGTTTGTGATTTGTTTGTTAGTTTGCTTGTTGATTAAAAAAAAAATCTTTGGGGGTTTTTTTTGCTGCATAGTTTCGTTTTGTTTAATTTTGTCTTTGTTTTAATAATTATGATGATAGTAATAATGATAATAATAATTGTAACAATAATAACAGAAATAATAATAATAGTAATAATGATAGCATTATCAATACTAATAATACTGATAACAACAGTAATGATGATAAGAATTTACATAGTGTTAATCCCTAGTAGGCTGTAAGTGCTGCAGGTTCGAAGGTATTTAAAATAACAAAATCTGGACCTGAATCTCTTCCCAGTTTGAGATAGCGGCAGAAGACAGCTCCGACATCGTGTTCAAGGCCACCACCCCCACAGAGTGTCATAGCTTGTTGCTGAGGGCTGTCAACAAATCGAGGTAAAGCTGAGAGTTGTTTTATTGTTGTGGGTTTCCTTTCTGTTGTGCTTGTTGATATTGTTGTTGTGTGACTTTTTCTGTCCCTTCAGAACTTTTCCTGTTTGACAAATTATCTTTCCTTTAGTAATTTTTTCTGTCTATTTACTCTTTTTTCTGTTGTGTTGTTGTTGTCAGTTTTTCTGTTCCTTCGGTAACCTTTCCTCTTTCACTAGTGACCTTTTCTATCTCTTCAGTATAACCTCTTCAGTAAACTTTTCTGTGGGTGGTTGGCGGGTGCTCTGGTGTGGTTTGCTCCTTCTTTCCTATCAGACATCTATCCTCTTGTCTCCCCTTCTTCTTTTTTATGTTTGTTACTCTCTTGTAACACCTCTAATCTTCTGGCGCTCATATGACCTTATGCAGTTGCGAGTGCCGTAAAACCTCTACTAAAAAAAACCCAACTTTTCTGTCCATTTATTTACTCTTTCCTTTCCTTCCATTAACCCTGTGGCTCTTCTTGTTTTGACAGGGGAGAGATTCTGCCTACCGAAGGTCGAGGGTTGGATTTCTTCGGCCTGTCTCACCCGGTCATCCAGAACCTGGTCCAGTCGTGCCCCGGTGCCCGCAAGTGTTCCCGCTACAAGTGGGTCAAGTTTGAGATCAACAAGGCGGAGACCAACGACAACGTGGCCGTGGGGGTCACTGACCCTTGTGTCAGCTACGACGCCTTGAAGATGCACATGATTGCCAGTGAGTGATGTGATTACTTGTGAGTGGGGTATGATTGTTAGTGGATGGTATGATTGCTAGTGAGTGATGTGATTGCTTGTGAGTGGATAGAATTGCGAGTGGGTGGTGCTATTGCTAGTGGGAGATATGATTGCTAGTGAGTGGTAAGATTGTTTGTTTGAGTTATGATTGCTAGTCATCAAGTGAACGATTGTAAGAAGGTGAAGAATAATTGCAAGTACCTGACATTATTTTCAGTCAATGAATGATTGTCAGATAGTGAATGATTTCCAGTAAATTACATGATTCTCCATTATAGTTTTCTAAATTATTTTGAGAGGGGCAAAAAAAATAAATAAAGATGAACATTTTGAGAAATACAGTCAAACTCGGATGTAACAGAACAGATGGGACCAGCAGTTTTTCCCAGTTATAACCGTTATCAAGAGAAAGTACCAGTACCATATATATTTATATATATTATATATATATATATATATATATTCGATTACCGCAGATCCTTTTCCAGTGGGCTGTTTTGCTGACACAGACGGAATGGTTCAGTGACCCTAACATTATGGGTGGTATGTGTTTAGGCCAGTGATCAAACCAACAGGTGAAATGTCTTGGTTGATACAAATTCTAGTAATTAATCTTGACTGTTCGAAAGCATGTTCATGCATTGCAAGATCACTATTGAATCCGAGTCTGCGCAAATTGAACCCTGTTATATCCAAGATCCTGTAATAACAGAAGCTGTTACTGTTATAAATGGACTGGACTGTATTGAAATTCTTTTCTTGTTTTCTCTCTCCCTCTCAACAGTTGGTCAAAGCCGACCCGGCCAGAACCTGGCGGCCCATGTGGAGCAGTCGACAAATCTACGCTCTTTGCTTACCAAGGGCAGCGGTCAGGGATCTAGCTCATGACTGGACGACTGAATGACCCTTCTGTGTGTGTGTGTGTGTGTGTGTGTGAGAGAGAGAGAGGGAGAGAGGGAGTTACCTTTTTGGAAGTTAAAAACAACTTTCTGTGTTGGGGGAGTTATGATTTTTTAAGTGGGAACAAACAAGTTTGCATGTGAGGGAGTTACGATTTTCTTTCTTGTCTCAAGTTCATGACTCTGCAGAGTAGACTCCAGCAGCATCCCTAGTAGCCAGCGTCCTAGCTGTTATGGAGAGAAAGTCAAAAAAGAAAAAATTAGTTGCTATCTCGCACAGTTTCAACTTTTTATTCCCAAGTTCACCACTGTGTGGAGTAGTAGTGTAGTTTCATTATTTTCTAACATAGTTTCAGTAACAACCGGCATTTGTGGTGTGGTGGTTAGGCACTGTGCCGTCGCTCACGGGAAACCGGAATTCTATTCCCAAGTGGTGAGAATAATATTGAGTATCTCGGCCTCTCTGCTGGGATGTTGTATCCCTCTCAGCCCGGGTCTGTCTGCTGGGATGTTGTATGCCTCTCAGTCTGGGTTGCCCCTGACAGGCAGGGTTGGAACCTGCCTCCTGAATGATTTAAATTGTGTTGATGGGGCGTTAAAAACCTACTACATTAACACTGAAAAACACACCAAAAAAATTGACTAGGGCTCAAGCCCAAGTTTGGAATAAACAAAGAGGTTGTATATGATACTAGAGCTTGCGGCCGTATTGTCACATGTTTGTGTCGGACCTTCATAGGGCATGGCCGGCCCGCCCTGATTTGAATGAACACTCTGATCTCCCTCCCAGCTTCCTTCGAGCTTTAGTAATAACGCTTCTCAGACCCCATTATTTCAGTGCAAGCTTGTAGATTTTCCCCTTAGACTGCCCAGACGCCCCCACATGAGTCTCAAAAAGTACTCACTTGTCTGTGGAACTGCGCTCATGACGCCCTTGAGGTTCAGTATCCCAGAGTGGGCACACGCTGCCCCCGTTTGTTTACATGGGCGGCATCACTGCCACGAAGTCTAGTACTAAATAAAACCTCTTTGGGAATAAGTTCATGGGCCATTGCTTGAAATATGAAACGAAACTGGCACAAATTATGTGGGGATGATGACGACCTGCCGAAAAATTCTTAAAAGTGATCCAGCTGGCCTTTTTTAAAATAGTTTTATTTGTTAGAGGTAGAGAATAATAATATAACCAGAAAGAATGAGTCTGTCAATGCTTAGAATTTTCCACAGCAAGTCGTCATCCTCACATTACTTGTGTCGCTAACGTTTCTTCATTTGTCATGGAATGTCCTTATTTAGACAAGTTTTCTTTAGTTTTAGTAAGAGTTTTGCGACTCTTGCAACACAAGTAGATCATATCAGTGTCTATTTTAGATATGTTACTAGACAACAAGACACAAGGTAAAGCCTGAGAGATATGGGCGATAGATTTTTTGTACATGTATAGGAAAGAAAGAGCAAACCACATTAACGCACCCATCGACCGCCTACAATCTAGACGAGCACAAGATCAGGCAGTGAAGAATTTTTTAAAAAAGCATAAATTATTGGGTATTTTACCTTATTATGTTTGTTATGCAATATTGTCATATTTCTTTATGCATGACTTTATGTATATAATTGAATGAATAAAGTTGATCTACTATCCTTGTTTTCAAGTTCATTTCATCTATAATTATCAATCTGCATGTATGTTTACTGCTTTGATCATTCATTCTTCTTCTCAGTTTGGTGTTTTTTTTAATACAACTAGAAGGTTAGTTAGATAGGAGCTACGTTGTTGGAGAGTTTCTGATGCTGAGAAATTGGATGACCAAACTGGCTGCACACGAAGGAGGAATATTCTATCCTTAACTATACGAAAAACAGAGTTACCCGTTATTACGAATTTGGCAAGATTGTGACGATTTTTGTTTAATTTCACGAAAATACGATCGTAAAATACCTCCGATTCTGATTTTTTAAAAGTTCGGCTGTCCAACAAACTCACTGGCCTCTGCCAACCTTCCTGGTGTACAAGAGTAGAAAAACTACCAGACCCGGACAGTCTACATCACCATGACACGTGCAGATTTTTAACTTAAGCAGCTTCTTTGCCTTGAGCCGCTGTAGTCTCTCGGCGCATCTTTGCCCTAACAAAAGTGTAAGACTTTAGAAGTGCCAAATCCAGGAAGAAGATTAGGTTGACAAGGTGCCTTTTGTGCTGTGTGTGACACCCAAGGCCAGTGAGAGAGATTTTTTAATGGATCATTGTTTGAAACTTAATACAATAGCCCATTTTTTTGTCCCTTTTTTTGTAACTCGACCAGTGACGAAAATGCGATCGCAATACCCCTGATTCTGATTTTTTAATAATTTCGGCTATCCAATCTCACTGACAACCTTCCCGGTGGATAAGGGGAGGGAAACTACCACCAGACCCAAGACTGCTTTTTTTTTTACCATGCTTTTGTTTGCGTTACTTTGTTTATACTTGCCTGGCTACAACCCCTGTCCTTGATTGTGACTCTCCAGAGAAAAAGACGATTCACGGCCATATTGCGAATTTTTAGCCAGATTACTAATTTTGTATTTGCTCTCTCTCTCTCTCTCTCTCTCTCTCTCTCTCTCTCTCTCTCTCTCTCTC